GGGGGGGGGGGGGGGGGGGGGGGGAAGTATTGGTTAAAAGACAATTGCTCTTACACATATTGAAATATGATAGTTTTCCTGGCTACTGTTTGGGCTTCTACTCAGTATTTTTTGAGATAGTGTTCTCATTTGGTGATTGGGTTCAACTTAATAATCTTGCATACAATCATCTAGAACAAATATCACCAAACCAATGGGCCTCTAATACAACAAAAAATTGATAGAATTCTACAGAACAGAACTGATAATAAATCTATTTATCTGGCATACAAAGGGATTGAAAGGCTTTAGGCTGCTGATTTATCTTTCTTCTATCCTTGACTCTAGCCAACCCCCCCACCCCCAAAATATTCTAGGGAGTAGGGAATTCCTTATTGTCCAATAGCGTTTTCTTCGATACACTTATTAAATATCTTTCTCTTTTACACAAATCAAAACAGAGGAGATGAAATGAAATGGATAATTTGACACTAGCAGACACAGTCGACGATTAAGAGAACAAATAATGAATCCTTAAAAAAGAAAATAGGTATGGAAAAAAATAATAATAACTTACAATCTTGGATGAACTTGCTCCGGAGGTATCACATAGACTTGGAGAAGGTGTTCAAAAAGGAGATAATTGTGCATAGTATCAGCTACAATTTTTGCTACCTATACAAATCAAGGCGATATTAGAAAAAGATAATTGCAAAAAATATATTAGTCAAAAGTCACAACATATCAATCAATCAGCCGAAACAACTAGTACCTCGGGAGATTCAAATTCTATGAACCCAAAATGTCTTGATTTTCCAGTCTGTTAAGCATACAAGAAACACATAGTCAGTATCAATCATCACTAAAATGGTAATTCAACAACAGCAAATTATTGCTGAACCAAAGTATTTAGTGAAACAAATAACTTGAACACTTAAAATTCATACTTCCTTCGAAACATTGAGAACCAAACAAAAGCAGAATTATTAAAATATCAATTCACACAAGCTTTATCCTCCAGGAATGCTAAAGATAAGGAACATACAACTATTAACAAAACATTTGAAGGTTTTGCAATAGAACATTTTCTTAATGAAAAACACGGATACGCAAACTGAGCATGAGACAAAAAAGTAAATCTTGAACATACAACCATACACGAAAGATGACAAAATTAACTCCATTCAAAAGTGCATCCTCTCCCCTGACACACTATATACACCTACACACAAGCACACCAGAATAAAGCATTCAACAAAAAGAAGACCATCGAATTCATGGATGTACCACCAACCTCATACGAGTAAATAGACTAGTATAATATAATCAAAGATTTCCACACATCATCATCCAGTTGACAAAACCAAACAGTTATGTAAACAATAACAAACAAAGATATAAAGGAGAGAAGTAAACAATCATGCCACTAACCCTTTTATTCCGCGAAATTCTCAATCTCTTGATGGTTCCAAATTGCCCAAAATAACCTACAAAAATACAATCATAAACACACATTCCATAAAAAAAAATCATCTAAAATCAGAAAAACAACAAATCTCATAAGCACCTTCCATCTCCTTCTCATAGAATCCGTGAGGAATCCGACCGACGTACAACACGGTGGCAGTATTCTCCAGCGGCTTCTGTTCGGGGAGCTTGCGAGCAGGACCACCTTCCAAGGGCTTCACAGATTGAGAAACAAAATTAGGCACACAATTAACATAAAAATTTGAAAAACATAATAGAAAATAGAGAGGAAGTGTTATTAGCATTGATTTACCAAAAAATCTGCACCTTGAGATGGCTTACTGGAGGAAGCCCTTTTCATGTTCTTCTTCAAAGCTTTCTTTGCCTTTGCTCCCATCTCGATGTGACAGAACAAACTAAGATAATTAACGTTACACTTCGATAACCTCTGCTACACAGAGGAAACGAGGTTGCGAGATAAGGAGATGAAGCTGCTGAGGAACTGCGATATTGTGCCGCTCACTTTAACGTTAAAACCCTAACCCCTCTAAAATAAACAATACGACAGGGTAAGTTAAACGCCTCGTTTCATAGGTGCATAATTTTCTTTTTCATTCATTTTTTTTTATTTCTAGTATCCAGTCATGTATAATAAAAATAAATAATTTCTTTTATTATTATTAAAATTTATAATTTAAAATAAAAATAAAAAATTAATATTAAAGAGATAATTCATATGCACACATCTATTTAAATAAAATATTTTCTAAATATTTTTTATATTTTATTTAGATTATTCTAAATAAACAAATGGAAAGATGAAGGAAAAGAACATATAAAAATGTAAAATATTTAATTAAGTTAGTAAAAACGTTAAAATTATTAATATTTTTATTTTTTATATTACAAATTTATTTATTTATTTATATTATTAATAATATAATATGTATACTAATTTTTAATATTTTTAAAATCTAATCTTTGTCTTTTTATTAAATAGTTTAAGTAAAACTTAATTTTAAACAAGTCAGATCATTTCTAATTGTAATCATTGTTTCAATCTCAGCTAATAGAGTAAAATTAATCAAGAAAACTAAGATTAGGTTATAAATTTTAACATAACATAATCGTAAAATTATAATGGGTAGAATTAATTAAAATTGTAATATGAGACTAATTTTTGTTTTTATTTGAATTTAAAAATTTATATAGGAAGATGAAGTAAAAAAAATGTTGTTTTAATTTTGAAAAAATTTAAGTTTTAATAAAAATTTCAATATTAGTGATAATAATTTATTTTTAGAAAATATTGATTTATTTTTAGAATTAAAAGTATCAAGAGAATTATTTTTTATTATTATGGAGGGAATTATTAAGAGAAGAAATTGATACTTCAATGAAATATTATGTGATTTTTTTTTAAAATGTATGAATGTTAATAATTTGTAATTAAGCTAAATTGTATTTTTAATTTTTTTATTTTTATCCATCTATAATTTTGATTTCTCTAATTTTAAAATAGAGACATTTAATCTTTCTATTTTTTAAAATACAAAATTTTTGTCTACTCATCGATTTGATGCTCGTTAATTATTAAATTTTAATAGTATGTGTTGATTTATCACTACTTAAGTGATATAATATTTTTCCCTAAAAAAAAGTGATATAATATTTAGTAACATAACATATATGAATAAAAATTAAAAATAATACACAAAATATTTTCATTTATATTTTTCTTGATGAGTAATTGATATTTATTTTATTAGTGCGTGTGCACGGGTTAAGTTGGTTCGTATTATTATATTTTTTTTAGTAAGAATTAAAAGTTAATAAAAAAATTTAAAAATTAGTATAAAAAAAAGGATAATCATAAAAATAGGGACATAGATAAAAAAATTTAATTAATAATCTAGTACACATCAAAATAAAAAGATATAAAATATTTTATATTATATGATTAGATAACAATTATTCATGAAAATACTTTTAACATTCACATTTGTTGATGTCTTTATGAAATACATCTAATAAGTCCCAAAGTGGTATAAATGTAATCAAAAGTATTTAATTGAAGAATACAACTAATGAGTCATAAAAGTGTTGTATATGTCTGCATGTCAAAAATATGCATGTATTCTTCAATTAGCAACATGTGAAAATTGTTGTATATCCTCCATCAATGTAGCAACTGCACAAAAAGTTAAAAAAAAAATTAGTAATTATAGGTTTGATGTGATAAAGTTTGATATGGTTAAAAATTTATATAAATTTGATACTCACAATGTTTGGTTCCATTGTATCTAGTATGGTATAAGACCTAGAAGCATAGTATTAAAGATACTTGGCATAACAATATTTGTACATATGACATCAAATGCCCCTACATTCATAAATTGTATTTTGTGTAATTAAGTTTTACAATTGAACTCTTATATTCTACCATGCAGCGTATATATTGAGTATTTAAGTATTAGAAAAATAAAAATATATCTATATATAGAAATTTTGAAAGAACAACTACAATTAAAAAGTTATACCTATATATGATTTCTTACCTATTAAAGGTTTTGCAATACTTTTAAAGGTTCTGGAAGACCTCCTTAAAAATAACATTAGTAGTAGACATTAATAGTTTATTTTCTTTGTCATGAATCAAGATCTTTAGCCACTATTTGCTTTGAACTCTAGAAATTGTAACATATAATTACTCATGACTAAACACTAGCCTAGGTAAATATAATCCAACATTTGCTAACGATTGACCTTGGGACTTATTAGTTGTCATTGCATAGGAAACAATGATTGGAAATTGTCTCCTAATCAACTTAAAAGGCCATGAAGATTGTGATGGAGACATAGGCATTAGTGGTACATAAATCTCATTTTCGTTTGAATTTTTAGACATTATCTTTGCTTCAATGACATAATTAGCTAGTCTTGTAACAATCATGCGGGTACCATTACACAATCTTTAAGATTGATCTAAATTCCTTAAAAGCATCACAGGTGTTCCAATCTTTAATTTAATTTTATGATTTGGAAGACAGGATGTTCTAAGAGAATTTAAAAACTCAGGTGTGAGTACATCAAAAGTTTGGCTTTTAGTTGACTGTGAATTCTCAATAGAATCATAGTTAAGGTATTTTATTTCATCGCCTACAACAATATCAACAAAAAAATAGTCAATTAAGTTGAAACTACTATTTATCACACTTAAGTATTTAAAATGTTAGATTGTACTGTGAAAGAAATACCTGGAATTATAAACAATACATATTCATTGACTTGGTGACAATCTAAGATTTGATGTAGATGTTGTGATGGTTAAGCTTGGCCCAAAGTTAATTCCTTTTGGATTTGATAAGTTATGATCGACCACAACAAACTTTTTCAATAGGTTTTCATCCTGGAAATGAATATGAGTTGTATTTCTTTTATTTTTTAGTAGAATTTGGTGTACATTTGGCTGTGTGTAGATATTATTCGAGTGACAAATTTGTTCATTCTCCCAATTTAGTATGTTGAAACTAATCTCAGAAAGTGGAGTATTGTTTCTTGATCTTTGTTTAGAACACAGCTGTTTAGTTTCAACTCTAATTGATATATTTGCAGTCTTTTCGCGTAGCACATTTTTTTCTTTTCAAACGTGTTTTAGCAGCAGCTTCTTTAGTTAAATTTTGTTCATTGTCCATGTCCATGCCTATGAGAGGTTTTAACATAAAACAATGTCATAAAATTTGGCAATATGGTAATATAACATTAAGTATAATATATTATTACATAATTTGTCACTCAGACTTTTATTTATATAATTAAGTATCTTAAATTATGACTTCTTTCCGCATGATTGATGCATGATTTCTACTTATGAAGGTAGAGATCCGCTAGATTTCCTCCAACTCACACAAACTGTTTAATATTTACTACACTGCTTTATAATGATCTTGGTGGATCAACTGGGAAATTATTCTTTTATTTATAACAAACATGTTTTCATAAGCTAGAAAAATCACTAAAACAGTGTCAATGCTGTAACGACCCGCCTTAGGTCGCCACATCAACAAACAATTGAACGACACATAAGAATAATATATAATAAAGAAAATAAAGAGCAAACGCCAGCTACACTAGAGTGTAAATATAAAATAACGTATAAATTGTTTTCATCAGATAAAACATAATTTTATAAAGAGTTACCATTAGTAAGGTTATACAGTCATCCAAAAAATAATATAATTACAACATCATGAAAGTATCAAAATAAGACACCCTAGGTGCTGGTCAAGCTCTAAGTCTAGCCACTTCTCAAAACAACTACCCAAAAAGACTCCTTGCCATCCCAAAGTCTCACACCTGATCTGCTCCCTCACATAGTGAGATCATCACAGTCAACATCATGGAAATATAAGGGTTAGCACATATAAAACCAACCATAGTACAACATAATGAAATATCATTAAACTAGATATTCATCAACAGTGTGTATCCATACCAAGGGAATGAAAACATTATAACAAGTCATTTCCATGCCAAATATAAACCAATCCAAAATTCAATGTATACATATCCATGCCAATGCATACATATTCTATGATAATAAAGAATCTATAACCAATGTATACAATCCATACCAAATGCATACATATTCCACATCCAAACCAAAGTCACACCACTGTATAATCCCATGAAGTAGCCAACACATCCAAACCAAATGTTGGCCTCAACACATCCAAACCAAGTGTTGAATTTGTGAACATGTCACCTGCCCATGTCACACACCTCAACTCTCATGGAAATTATACAGTTAGGTTACGTCGTCACGTAACACTTGTGATCATGGCCACTTTATCCATCGGTATGACTCGGCCTTGCTCCCATAGAAAATAGAATACTTAGAGGAGTACTTCAGAATTCACCTAACATCTGAAGTGGTTTATTATATAATCTTTGGAAAAGTTCCATATCGGAATCCTCATCATGGGACTCCCAAATTCCATATTTTCCCAAAGATTATATCCTGATCTCACCAAGAGATCTCTCAATCCATACCATAACTTTACTCCTTTAAGTCCTATTAGCTTTCCGAACCAAACACACATAGTATATTCTATAATTACATACAAACTTTTTCATAACCATGCCAAATTACTCAATATAACAACATAAATAATTAAACACCCAAAACAACTATCAATTTAACCAAATCACTCTTTGTGAAATGATAATCTTCACATAAAACAGCACATCAAGAGTTATACTACTCCTATCATGCTCATCTTTATCTCATATGAAAGATAAGAAGATTTCCTACAACTCTTATGAAGAGACCAAGTCCTAATTGCATCATATAATTTGTTAAAAATTCTAAAAACCGCAACAGCTATAACCAATGTTGGCAGCTTGACCCCTCTTCACTAAAACAGTCATATCTGGAGTTCTAGACCTCCTTTTTGGGTGATTCCAACTCCATTGGAAAGTTAACATCCAAGGCTACAACTTTCATGAAGACTTAAAGACCAAGATACTCACGCCCGGTGCACTAATATCCTGCCCGATGTAAAACT